TATATATATATATATATCATTTATATTAACATTATTAATACACTTAACAGTACACAGTATACTATCAATATTAATATCATTACGAATAATATTATATTCAGTAAATAATTATTAAATACCGTTCCCATTGCCTCCAACAATACTTCCATAATTCCCTTCGCAAACTATTAATAACAATAGTACCTTCTAGTTCCATTAATTCCAATTTCGAAAAAACTACATTCCCAAGTCGCTCATTACAAATTCGGTCCGCTCGGTAGATTCGTGTTAACAATCGTTTTAATGCGAAATGTTTATAGTATCACTATAAATATTAATATCCAATTATCGAGGAATCTTCCAGTAAACGGCGGGTAACAATGCACTGCTAATTGGCCGGCTCGTAATTCGCGAGAAGTTTCCAGCGCAGCAGCGCGATCCACAGCGAAAGCGATCGCCGAATCTGTAACACGATGCAACGGTTAGAAAATTGTGAACACCGGCTTTCGTGAAATTCATTAATTGACCGCTTAAGCGTCGAATTGATCCGTGCCGCTGGCTGAAATTAACGACACCGTTAACGACCCGGGCGACGCCTTTAATAAGCCCCGCACTCACGACGCGATGAAAAACCGCCTAACGCCGCATTAAACACTTTCCAACCCGTAATTTATCGCAACGCGATAAAAGGAAACGCCCGGCGATCGTTAACAGTCGACTTCTAATTAATTACGCCGTGCCGATCGGCTAACTTCGCCGGTAATCCGCTGCTTATTCGTTTCAATTCAACTATTTGCAATCGATCCCTGCTTAATCCTCTTTTAATGGGACACCATTATCGGTACATTTGTCCTCGTTGTATACAATCCTCTGATTCCCATTATGTTAGCCGATTTTCTTCCATTGTTCGTTGGAAACGTATAATTAACGCCTTGCCTTACAATCTGTTTCGACGACTTTATCGTTGACAATTTAGTAGAAAAAATTAACTGTTTCTACGTTTATTGTAAATATTGAAAATTGATAATATGTAAGTAATATTTCATTTGTGTTGATAATAAATAAATTACCTCGAATTTATGGGACGACCTAATATTTTCCCGAGTTTAACCCTTTGCACTCCATTGGCTCCTCTCAGTCGTCCCTCGATTTGACAAAGAAAAATTATGGAGTATAATATATAATGTTAAGTTTCGATGCGTTAATATGTGAAATATTAAAATAAAAATGCCTCTTTCCTCAGTTTCAAGAAATGTTAACTATATTTCATCGGAGTGTTCGGTATTTTCGGTAGAAAACTCTTGGAGTGCAAAGGGTTAACCCTTTTCTCAATGAATATTCATTATTTTCTGATAAAATATCAATGATACTTGTTACAACTGATATAAAGAAATACCTTGCATAAATTAAGCGACAGAACTATTTCATGTGTTGATACACTATATAAAATTTAATATTTAATCTGACACTTTATCATTTTCTTGGGTCGAATCCAATGGCGACTGAAAGGCGCCTCTCGAGTGCAAAGGGTTAACACTTTGAACTTAAAGGGATGAGTCGATAGATAATCCCGGCGTCCTCTGACGTTTGCCAGGACGAAATTGGCCGAGGTCCGCGCGTGTGCGTGTGACCGTCACCTCGAAGGAGACACGAACGGGAGGAGGATCAATCGAGGTCGTCGATCGAGGTCGACTTTTAGACGAATACGACGTACCATTGCAACGTGGATATGATAGAGGATGTACCGTTTGTCCTCGCAAAAGGGTCAAATCCTGGAGAACGGGTCAACTGGCAGGAGAACGTGTAAAACGGTGCTCCAAACGCGCATCAAACGCAGTTTCGCGCTAAGAGAAAAAGGAGAGTCGATAGTTGATTCGGTCGTAAATAACTCCTAGACGCGGAGTGTTATTAGATGAGAATCAATCAAAGAGCGACGACGGAAACGTTTAGATCGTGTAACAGTTACCGACTTTAATGATTCATTATCTGTAAGATCGTAAATCCGTGTTAATCCGAGGAATGAACAGACTGGGAAATAGGACTGGTGTAAATGTCTAATAACAGAACTGTAACGAAAGACTAATTATTCAAATTATAATCGTTCTATGGAATCTTTTACGGACTAATGTCATTTTAGGGAGATAAAGTTTTTATGTTTGGAATACCAAGTCATAAATAAATGATTGAATTACTAAAACAAGAGATCAGCGTAGTTTCCTTTTCCCTATTAATTAATTAAGGTATATAATTGAACTTCATCTTCATCATCTTCATCTGTACATTTCAGAGAAACGAAGCTAACCAATAATAAACTTGATAAGATTACCTATAATAATAATAATAATAAACCTAATAATAAACCTGATAAGATTACCTATAATAATAATAATAAACTTAATAATAAACCTAAAAGATTACCTGATAATATTAGCTAATAATAAACGGCTCAAGTGACTATACTAACCGTTTCAGTCCCAAGCGACAAGATGGCGCTTCTGCTACATTGTCTAAAAATGGCAGCCTATCGGTTCGTAGAATCAGATGAAGCTTATTTGTTTCTTTTCCTTCTAATTATTCATTCTTATTTTTTTCATAGACTGATCTGAGATAGACATTTGTCTAGAACTGGGAAAATGTAACGACCACACTATTTAACATTTGTTATTGCAAAAACATTGTTCTTCTTAGCATCAATATTGTAGCATTTCTAATATTCTTCAAGAATACTATAAAAATTAGTTCCTGATAGATTACAAAACAATCTAAAATGCCAAGGATTAACAATGGAAGGAACAAACGGAATGTCCGTTGCATCCAGAGCTGCCAGCGAGCGGACAAACGCAGAAGGTGACGCAAGTGGGCGTCGTCGAAGGAGCATCCTCGCGGCCACCGAATTGTTACGCAACTGTAGGAAAGCGAATAACCGGATCGAAGTATTCAGCGATATTTGCAATTGAAGTAGATTGCGTGTAACTACTGCCGGGTAATAGATTAATTGCGGGCCTGGCCGAAGAGCGACGATGACGGTCGCTCGGTACGCGACGCGGCAGTTGTCGAAATCGTATGATGAAGAACGCGGTCCTGGCCGTGCTCTGTTACTCATGGCTGAACCTGTTCACGGAAGTGCGATCGAACGACAGGTAAAACCGATCGATCCGAGGGGAAATCGGTTCGCGGCGAGCCGACGTAACTTTCCTTTGTTTTCGCAGCGCCGATGACGCCAAGGACTCCACCGTGAAAACTGGCATCGTCCTGCCGGAGCATTACGTGAAAGGTCTGTATTCCATTCGATGAAACCGCGAATTCGATGAATTCACGGGGAAAGTTTAGACTGAAGTCGTGAATTCTAGGACAGAGGAGATCTATAACTTAACTTGTATTATATATTATAATATAACTTAACTTATATTATAATATATAATATGTACATTATGTACAGTTCAACGTTGAATACCAAATTTAACAGTTTTACTGCATCGAATCAAGTCTAAGAGTGCAAAGGGTTAATAAAGCGAAGAATTAGCTTTTCTAAGAAAAGAAATAAACAAGCTTCATTTGATTCTACGAACCGATAGACTGACATTTTAAGCAGTGCAACGGAGAAGCGCGATAGAGACGCTTATGCCTCATTAAATGATTTTCAACCCCTAGTTTTCTCGTAACGCGTCAAAGTCCTGCGACTGTCAACAGAATTTCTAGCATAAATGTCACTCGATCCTCTTACATTCAAATTATATATGACTCTTCTGTCATCCATTAATTTAGAGCAACAATTGAATATGTCGTATTTCTCAGATGCAATGGGAAATTGGAATAATTTGAAGTATAAATCACTCGATATAAATTTGAATCATGATCGTGGTCACGCGTCAAGATTAATTGTCAATTTAAGCCGGACAATACAGGCAAAATTGCGATCAACAAACCGAATGATTGATTAACGATCTATTCGCGACATCCGTTGTACCGTGAACCGATCGTTAAACGGGTTTTATACACGCGGGACAGATGCTTCATTGAAATCCAGTTTGCGGATGAGTTTAGCAAACTGGCGGAAGTGTTTCGAATTTGACCTCGGTTCCTAATTTTTGTCTAAATATAAAATGAATGTCCACTGTTTGCATAAATATTCACGCGATCGGCAATCGTGCGTGCGGTCTCCAAAGAGAATGGACATCGAAGGATAATTTATGAGCTGTCCTGGTTTCCCAAAAAGTACCGGGCATCTGGTGTATATAGAAACCCTGATCGCCGCGACGACCACAAATCAATCGACTTTCTACGATTATGGGGAAACTAGTTCACGCTGCCCTGTTGGCGGATAGAGGCTGCCTCCGGATTTCAGGCAGCCGTGAACTGTGAGGGTCGATGCGACTGAGTACAGTAGAATCTTGATTGAATTGTTAATCGTTGGAGTGGTTTTTCAGTTGTTTTTATGGTTACATTGTTACTTAGTGTTGGTTTGTTTGGATTATCTAGGTACTAATTGGTTGAGACCATCTAAACTATTTGACTATTCAATTATGTTGGTCCTAGTTGGTTCAGATAATGAATCTTGATTGTCTGAACTGTGGATCATTAGAACCATGGTTTTCCAATTGTTTTTGTGACTATATTGTTTACTTTAGTATTGGTTTATCTGAGTTATCTAGGTACTAATTAGTAGAGATAATCGAGGTAGTGTATGGTATTCAATTATCTAAACTATTTGACTATTCGAATCATGTTGGTCCTAGTTGGTTCAGTTATTCAAACTATTATTACTATTTATCCTAATATTTATTACAAACTATTGCATTAATTACTATATTAATAGTTACTCAAATTATTTGATCATTCAAGCCATTTTAGTCCCAACTGATTCGAATAATAGAGGCTCCACTACTATTCAATTATCCATCTTGATCAGAATTAGTTCAGATGATCGAGGTTCTATCGTAGCAAAAGATTTTCTCCACTAAACGTATCTCGAATCACGAGCAAAGAATGCCAAGGATTTACTATCCAGCTTCGTCCTGCCTGAAACTAAGTTGCAATTTTATTAATGAATTCCGTGTACGGTCAAATTAACATTCGTGCCAATGATTCAAGCAGAAATTAGGCCACCGTCGAAGCAAGGCATGCCTGTGCTGGTCGACTTCAACATTTTCGTGGCGGACATCAACTCGATCAACGTTGAGGACATGGACTTCCGGTGAGCCGAAACATTCAATTTGTTCGAGCAACTTGAATCGTTTCATTGATTACTTCGTCATTTGTTCTATCTCCAGTAGTCAAAGTACCATTTTTTCATCATGAAAAGCAAATTCGAATATTTTATATTATCAGATTAATAATAAAATTGAAACAACTGTAAATAAATAACTGAATAAAATAGTATAAAATAATAAACGATGAATGAAACATAGAATAATGAATAGAATGAAAATAGTAAATAAGACTATAACAAGCAGAAGTGAATCTGTTCACTGACACACGTTAATCTATTCGTTGCTCGAACATAATTACATGCTAATTTCGTTGCTTGCACAACACCGACGAAAAGATATTGATATTAAAACAGCGTGGACATGTTCGTACGCGAAAGTTGGATAGAATCCCGACTGGACATGCCGGAATACATTTTTGAGGAGGGCGACGATTATGTCACCTTGCCACCTGACTTCTTCGACAGCCTGTGGCAACCGGACCTCTACTTCTTGAACGCGAAAGTTTCCGGTAAGTTTTACGGTAAATATTCTATTAATTATATCACTACTAAATTGTGCTTAATATTAAAGTTGTCGGGAATTAACCACTGATTATTGTTATCATTATTATTCTTCTTCTTCTTCTTATTATTATTATTATTATCATTATTATTATTCTTCATCTTATTACTATTATTATCATTATTATTCTTATTCTTCTTTTTCTTATTATTCCTATTCTTCTTCTTATTATTATTATTATTATTATTATTATTATTATTGTTAGAAACTATAATTTATTATATCTCAATACCGTACGATTCATCGTACCATTGTGCTGATGCTGTTCGATTTCAGAAATCGCCGCGTTGAATCACAAATTCTCCTCGGTGACGCTGTACAGGAACAAGACCGTCAAGTATTCGGCACGAATGCACGCGATCATCGCCTGCCAGATGGAATTCCAGCTGTACCCGATGGACATACAGATCTGTCCCATCTACATAGAAAGCTGTAAGTCGTCGATAACCAAAACAAAACCCGCTACGAGGCTCGTTATTTCGGTACCGTTTGCGACTTACCAGCACCACACTTTATTAAGTAGCCACTAAATTCTATCGAACTAGATCACGCGTATTAACCACGCGCCAATGAGCACAGCACAATGAAACGATGGATACAAACTGTTCGCCGCTTTCGCAAAATCATCTCTTAAACCCTTGACTTACATTCGTCACCAGTGACTTAATGTTAATCTCCTAGTGTAAACTAAAGGACTCTATATTCATTGACAATTTATAATCTCTTTAATATTGGAACTACTAGAAAATTCAAAATGATTTTGAAAATAAATAGTTTCACTAGAGTCTATAATGAATGTCTGAAGAAATTGAAAATAATCTATTATTACAATTTTTCTAGGAATTGCATATTAATAGTATTAAATGCTCGGTAGTTTTAGCGTTAACCACTAGCGCTGGAAAGTTATTTTACTTTTTAAGTCCATTCGGTACTTGTTAAAGATTAGTAGACTCTATCAAAAAGACTCCATCAAAGAAAACCGAGTATTACTAGATGCCCCGCATTAATTCGGCAAACTGCGACAGTTTCCTATCACAAACAGAAGCTGCGGCTGAAATGGGGCGCGGGCGGCGTTACGGTGAACCCGGAATTGAAGTTGTTGCAGTATGACATCGGTAAGCCGATAGTGTCCGAGGAGACCGTCGACTACATGCTGGAGAAAAGCGGTACGTTGCCAGTTTCGATGGACCAATGCTTAGGGGCTCACCCGGTGAAGTGTCCTTTCGTTTCGCAGGGAATTTCTCGCGGTTGGTGGTTTACTTCCGGTTCGAGAGGCAGATCGGGCATCATCTGATACAAACGTTCGCACCATCGACGCTGGTTGTGATGCTCTCTTGGTTCAGCTTCTGGCTGGGCTTGGATGCCATCCCGGGCAGGGTGGCTTTGCTAGTGACTAGCATGCTCACTCTGGTCACCATGTTCACTGGTCTCAAGAGCGACATTCCTCCGGTCGCCTACGTGAAAGTGAGTCTCCTTTGATCAACCTCGTTGGATTCTGATTGGGTCGTGGGAGCTGGGTGGTGTCCAGTAAGGTTGCCACTTGACGCTGGAAATAGTTAGAGCAGTTAATAGCAGTTTAAAATGTAGACACTGTTTTTGAATGACTGGAATTTTGGATACCTTGTAGATTTGTGAACGTTAAGAGTGTTCAACGTTAACTTTGATTTTGAAGATTTTATAAATTCATAAATGTTACTGTAATTGAAAAGATTGAAGAATGTGGAAGTAGGCATGTTGATATCTGGATTTTCAGGCGTTGGATGTTTGGATGGCTGGCTGTATGATGTTCGTGTTCGCCGCATTGGGTGAATTCGTGGTGGTCAAGGTGCTGGACTTGCAGTATCAGCTGAAATACGACCTACAGACATCAGTAATGTCCCGGCATTATCCAACAGTTTGTATAATAGTTAATAGCGGGCTACTAATAGTATATTATAAACATTCTCTGAGACTTCTTCATTATAAATCTTCATTATAAGAATATATTTCATGTTCTTTGTACAATAGATTCAACGATGTCTTGATGATTCTGTACTATTTCTTCTTAGCGCCTATTCAGTATGGATAAAAATCAAAGCATTTGGGACTACGACACGCCTTACATATCCAAAACCAAGAAGAAGAGGGCTGGCAGCAAACACCTTCTGCAAACTGCGTGGCTGGACTCTGAGTATCAGATTTTACGGGCGCGCAAGACGCGGTCGCAAATAATCGACACTTACAGTAGAATAGGTTTCCCTATACTGTTCTTGCTGTTCATGGTTTTGTACTGGCCAATTCTGTTGCTTAAGAAAGCTACGTGAACTCTCGGATAACCGCAATGGACGGGAGGAGTCTAATTAATGGTACAAATGTAATATAGTTGGATCGAAGAATTGTGAGCGACAAAATGCTTGTGAGTTCTTTTTTAAGTATACATTTAATTACCTAAATAAAATATGTATAAAATTAAATCTTATCTTATGTATACTATGTACAAATGTGCGAAGCTTTCATTCGACTAATAATCATCAATGAGATCATACGTGTTCGATTTCAGTCGACCTCCATCTCCTCGACTGACGACCGTTCCGATTCCTCATCTTCTTCCATCTTCTCCGACTTAACAGACGCTTTAGCTTTACGTTCACCCACCTTTTGCAAATAACTCATTGTATACTGATTGTAATCGCATCTGCAATTAGAAGAAGAAAATGAATCCGTCTGATTAAACAACTATTATATAAAATTATGTAAATAACCGACATTTTACTGAGCTCATCGTATTTCCTCTGCATGTTTTTCTGTAGCATCAGTAATATCGGCATTTGAAGCGCTGAATTTATTTTATGACCGTGGATTGTCAATATAGTCTCGACCCAAATGAGATAAAAATGTATATGCCTCGTCAATTCTAATTCCGACGCGATGAACTTCAGTACTCTTTCCACATAAATGTCGGGCAAAGATGCGACTATTAACTCAACTGAAAATAAAATCCATAGTAAATGAATCTTCATTGTACGAATACAGATAAGTCTATTTATTCCAAACTTACTATTCTCGATGGGAATGGTTTCTAAGACACACTTTATCAGCAGCTTCTCATTCAGTTTCAAAGCCATCATCAGTGCTGAAAATATTTACCGTTAATACCAATAGATGCCAATAAATTTTCTCAGTATCAAGGATAAAGATAATCCACCTTTTGCGTATGCCTTTTCATTCAAAGTAATTTTTACGGTTTCCGGTGTGATCCCTAGTTCCAATTCGAACGGATCAAATACCATGCCAACGTCCAACGCATATATCAGTAGACCCTCTGTCGTAGCTGCAGCCCAAGCTTGTCCTATGCAATCATATATTTTGGATTTTTATAAAACTGTTCCATAAACGAAATTCTGAGATAAAATTACAGAGTGATTCTACCTGTTGGAGAGAATTGTAAACCGTACACTCTCACTTCCGGCCTCAGGTTTCTGCTCGCCATGTCGCCTTTCTTGACCCCGGGTAATCTCAGCATTACATTCCCACCTTCGTTCGGTCCGCGGTATTCGACTAACGCTCTGTTACCAAACTCTGATATATGTCGCCTACTTATAATATCCTGTACACGAACATCAGTCCCATTACTTTCAAGTTAAACTAATTTTATGTGAACCACTAACCGTTCAAAATAATGCCATCACTTACATCAACTCCATCCAAGGATCTGTTCTGAGTTACAACGAATTTCTTAACGAGCAAACATTCTTTAACATTATAGATACATATATGTTTAGACTGCCCACCAGCTAGTATGCACGATCCATCGGCCGAGTAACATAAGTTATTGAAAGCTCTGAAAACCGATTTTTCATTAGGACAATTCTAAGGAAACGTATGTATACTAACATTTATTATAGTTACTATAGTATAGTATATTATATAATATACATTATATCATTTGTATACTAACTTCCCCTGTAAACTCTTTTTCGCAGTAATCATATCAGTCCTGGATCTGCCACTGCCTAGATCATTCCTTCCTTCGATGCTACCTGTTTGCGTCGCTGTTTTGCAATTGAAAAACGAAATCTGCCCATCCAGAGTAGCAACTGCCACTTCCTCGCCGTTCGGTTTGTAAGCAACATACAGACCATCCGACGTTAGCTTTATTGTTTCGTGTTCGGAACCGTTTTCAATTGCATTCCATACCTTCAATGTTTTATCCCAAGATACGGATACCATTTCTGTGCTAGTAGCACTTGGATTAAATGCTATACTAACTACTGGGCCTTCGTGTCCGCTCATCACCTGTTTAAAGGATGTATATAACGGTTATCGGAATTGCAGGATAATTTGGAAATAGTTATTAACTATATACCTCTAAGAGAGTGCCTAGTTTAATGCTCCACAAATAAATCTCAAAGAAATCTTGACCTCCTGCTGCAAGAAACTCGTCGCTTGAATCTAAAGTAATGCAGGAGAATTGGACCGGTCGCGGTGAAGTAAGAGTTCGAAAATTCCTGTACCTTGCCAAGTCATATGCTCTGGCCGTTCCATCGTACGAGGCGGAAACGATAAATTTCCTGTTATGGCTGAACAAAACACCTGTCACCGCCGAGGTGTGCTCGCGAAACGTGACAGAACAAAATCCGTTCACTGTATTCCACAATTTCACTTTCCCGTCGTCGCCTCCAGTAACAATGTACTGGCCATCTGGACTGTACGCCAGACAATTCATATTGTTACTGTGGCCCTGCTGTTTCATCGCATATGTTTCACTTTGCCACTCCCATACTAATAATTGTCCAGCCGAGGAACACCCTAGAGCTATCCAGTCTCCAGTCGAATTGATTGCAATCGATGAAACATACTGATCTGATATACTGAAACGAAAATGTAGAGAAATGTTTACTATTGAATATTATTCTATCGTAATGAATGAATGAATTATTACAGTAGTTAATACCTGAGAGAATGAATCATATTAACGTCAGGCATTTCATATAAATAAAATGAACCGTTGTTAAACCCGACTACTAGGATATTCGTCTCCTTGTGGTATGCAGCCGCAGTTAGCGATACTCTTTCATCTTGCTTCTTTTGTACGACGTTAGCTAAGTAATGACGGCATAATTGTTTATAACGGAACTTTTTCATTTTTGGCTTAATTTCGAAATCAAGGTCCTCATCGCTTTCCGGAGAATCTTCTAAAATACAACAAACCAGTTGGAATAGTTGAATCGACTGAAAAGTTTGAACTAGAACTACAGATAGTATATTTATTTGAAGAAAAAATTTACCTGGACGTTGTAACTTCCGCTCAAGAGCTTTAATCTGTTTCTCAGTTTTCTCAATAGCTTTCTCAAAATCAAAATCATCCTCTACATCACTATCTGTTTGAGGCTTGGCTCTTTTAACCCGAGGCTCCCATGGTACTAACTCATCCGCGGAAATTGAACATTCCCAAATAGACAGTTGACCATTTCTGGAACCAATAAATGGTTATGGCCAATGAGATAATAAAACATTCTTGAATTATACTCGATGTATGCACTTACCTACTGATTGTGGTTAAATCATAACTATTTTTCTCAAAGAAACATGCTACAATAACATCAGAATGGCTACCAAGGTTAATACATTTAAAATTCGCAAATTTCTCTAAGCTATATACTTTTGTAGCATTGTCTCTAGCACCGACAGCAAGCATTCTTGAATCATACGACCAACTAAGACAAGTTGTGTCACCAATAGCACCATGAAACACCCGTTCCATGATAAATGGATTATATGTCCCGGTTTGTAAGCCAGGAGCATTAAAAATAAATACTGAAAAGATGATCAATCATAAAGTATTGGTATGAAAGTTGTAAATATTTCAATCATGTAGATTATTGTAAAACCTTACCATTATTTTCTTTACATACTGCAAAATGTTTACCATCTGGGGAGAACTTTATGCGTCTAACACGACGTTTAAATTTATATGTATGTATTACCATTTTGCTTACCATGCTAATGACATGTAGATTACCCTCTACAATGAAAAATTAATAAATTATAATAAATTCTTACAACTACACAAATATGCAAAAATAAAGACAATAGTTTTACGTTGATTAACTGCAAGTAACATAGATCCATTAGGTGATAAATCGATACAAGTATAATTATATCTGCTTTCAACAGGTAACGTATTAGACTTGTTACTGAAATGTATAATGTAGTGATTATTTAATGAATCAATTCTTTCCTTCATAAATATAACAATGCTACTTTTCTGATACTTACTTCTTTAAATCATATATAGTTATCCTGTTTCCCACGGGACTAATAACAGTTGATCCATCTGGAGAGAATAATAAATCTCCTTTATGATAGACTGTGCCTAACAAATTAGAAAACTGCAAAAAAGATATACATGTCATATAAAAAATTCATAGTCAACAAACAAGTACAGTTTTCCAAATCATTTTTAAAATAGACAGACTGCCATACTAACAGGTGTTAGTCAGTATTATTAAGTATATAAATTAACAATCACAACATAGAGTATAAAAACATTACCGGATTAGGTTAGAAACATAATGCACAGGGTTAACATAGTTACAATAAAACCAGTGCCACTTTATTCTCAAAAATCTTTGTTAAAAATATTCTTCTCACCTTATATGCGAATCTCATGATTGCTAAATTCGTTTATACACGGATTTCCCAACAATATCTTCCGACTTCACCGAAACACGTTTAACATGACATTTGAATCAAGCATGCTACAAACTCCGTAGCACGACTTCCGGTCATCCGCATGTCCGATCACGTGTTTGAAATTAAGGTGTTGGCTGGAAATACCAAAAATCCAAATCTGAATTAGTTTAATATAAATCTGAACAGCAACGTCATGTTCAAAACAGCGAATATTAAATATCAACATAAAACGTCTAACGAAGTCGTTAAATTGATATAGAACAATTACTAGGGGAGTTCCAAAAACAATATTTTCAGATTGAGCCTGAACATACAGAATGTTATACCAATTACTAGACAATAAACTACTTATGCATACACATGATCTCACAAATTGACTTACAAAAATTCAACTAAAAACTCCTGCCCTCGTATCGATTAAATTCCTCCCATAAATATACAAGTATATATATATATACATATATATTAACAAAGTTACTCCTAAAAATCGTCGGAAAAATCTGAAAAATTCCCCTGCAGAAGTCAGCCAGGAACATTTTAACATCAATTAATTCTTTCCACTGGAAACGTGTTTGCTCAGCTACGTTTGAATTTGGTCACATGCTTTCGCACGTCCCGTCGAGATAACCTAAAAGTATCGGGTCCCCGCGATAGAATATACCGTCCGACGGGAAACATCATTTCCACGGGAATATTTAACGATATCCGGCTAAATTCGGGGAAATAAAAGTTTCGCATAAATAAGAAAAAGGACAGGAAACGCATGTCACGCGGTTCGGGACACAAGAGGGTGCGCAGTCGGTGTGCGCAGAGCCGCCGCTAGGGGACCTATAGAGCGGCTTGACGTCAGATATAAAAGATGAAACGCCCGACGGGATTCGCTTCCGACGGTGCAGCCCGCAGTCGCGAACCAATAGCAACCGCATAGACATCCGCGAGCGACGGCCAGTCTCTTCTTCTCTCACTCGTCACTCGTCACATGACCCGCACTACTGTACGGTAGGCCATATTTGACAGTGGACACTAGTTTAGCGAAGTGAGCGCGAGTAAAGATCGCTCCTGGTCGGGATTGTCGTCGCGTTTCGACCAACCTATAAATACTCGTGTAGAATCCTTGGATTTACGCTGGTGAAGTCTTGAACAAGAACGTAAAGATGGCAACGGAAGAAAATCCTATTTACGGGCCCTTCTTCGGCGTGATGGGCGCCGCCTCAGCCATCATATTTTCTGGTGAGTCTCAGTTGTTTGGCCTTAGCCTGGTTGCGAGCCCGACGATCTTTCTATCTGTCAAGAATGAAATTCTCCGCCGTCACCGATGACGATGATTCATTGAACGCTGTCCGGAGCTTCGATTCACTTCCTCGTACAAGCACGCCATTTTCTTTGCCACGGGCAGCCCAAAAGTATCGAAAACACGGCGAATCGTGAAAATCGAATGGACTCTGTATCAAAATCTAACGTTCAACGGATCGATCGGATTCGGTTCACTATACCGATCGTACTCGATCGCCGATTAACCGTTTCTAGAATCGATCCTTCGACCGTGAAATTACGTTTCTCATTTTTGTCAAACGTTTCTGTCAAGCCGTGATAAATACAGAAATATATATATTTTATATATAATACGTATATAGATACATGTATTATATACAATATATATTATTATATGTATATACATATACATATATATATACGAGATGTCGCGCGTTCCAATCCCAACGAAACCGCCGAAGATGTCAAGGATACAGATTCAATTTCGAACCGCCATTTTTCTAGGCACGTAGATCTGGGATTTCGTAATGTTCCGTAAACGCGGTCCAACCGGCCGTCGAGCTTAATTTTACATTACGAGAGAAACGCGTTCGCGGCGTTCGGCCTGGCCACCCGTTATTTCGTAATGTCTGACCTCATTGACCAGCTTTTCAATGAAAGGGTCCGCCGTCAGAAGGAACGGTATCGCAGGATTAAACGGGTCGCAGCGGAAGATTCCGACGGACAATCGATATATATCGGTGGCCATCGATCTCGGTTTAATCGATTCGAGTGCCATTCACTCGACGTATAAGAATGAGCTCAGGAACACAGTATTTAACCCTGAAAAAAATTAAATAAAAAACCAGCTTCCTAAATTCGATCACAGAATATTCAAAAATGGCACTTTATCTGTATAAAATATATAAAACAAGACATTCTCATAGATATTTCATTAAGGACTTGTCGAATTGTCTTTAGATAAGAATCTTTCAGAGAGAAATAATTGGAAACGTGTAATTGTACATTCGTAAATTGCTCGAGCCTGGAAGCTCTTCAGGATTCAAGTTTTCGAGCGTCTCTCTGTCCCTATCAAGGAAATCAATACGAATCTCCCTTTTCCCGTGTGCGCCAGTCTTGAATGGACGGCGGCACACGAGGAAAATTGACCGACGAACGAACGGCGCACGAGGACTCCATCGAAATGCATAAAATGTTGATCCTAGGCCAACCAGACGAACCAGAAATTCGACTTGGCAAACCGTTTCGATTCCCGGTTCACTCGAATCTGAAATATTCGGAAGAATCTTCTTTTTTTTCCTTTCCGTCTTCTGGTAATCCGTTTCAATCCCGACAGAGTGTACGGATATTAGAGACTGTTAAAGGATAAAATCGTGTAACTATCGGTGTCCCGTGGCCGTGCCACGCCCCCTACTCACGGGATGGGACTTACATTATTATCATGTGACTGCCAACGTGAGAATCATGTGACTACGATTTCCAGCCCAGCCGGAACAATTCGTCGCCACTGGAATCGTAGATGTATAGCTTTTCCTTCTGGACAGCCCGAAATATCGTCCGGGAATATTAACGATAAATGCCGGGATGTATATGAAACGAAATCAGGTCCGTGACCTCGTCGTCGGGATCAATATTAAACGAGATCGATAGCTCTTCACGGGCCACCGTTTCGAGGGGCATTCCCGGTTCGACTGTGAAAAATCGATCGCCCCGATATCGAATTACGAATTTTTTCGGCGGTTTATAGGGGAATTAAAAATGAAAAGTTATGATGGAATTTGTTGAATTGAAGATTGAATGATTCAAGGTGCCATTTTATTCTGGTTAATGGAGATTGTATTTTATGAATCAAATTTTTATTGTACGTTCATTGCGAGGAATTAAAGAGATGTTGAGAAAGATTAATATATATTTAACAATCTTTTTACTCTGAGAAAATATTTATTGGTCTTTTCATCGTTTTTGAGACTAATTACGGGTGAATGGTATTTGATAATTTAGAATTGAGCAAATGTTGGTATATAGTTGACAATGATATCCTTATCATACTTCTTATCTGTTTTACCAGGCAGTTAACAAAGGGAATGTGGTTTTGTTGTTTACATCTATCAGTAAAATGTTCTTGGAACAATGTATTAATGAAAAGTGTGTAACTTTTTAATATTGAAGATATATTTTCTCTTTTAAATGCTACCTCCATTAATTTTACAGGCTTATGGCGTGTCATGTGTAGTGGGTATGTTATTGTAACTGTTGCCAATATACTCGCAATGCTGTCTAGTAAATCTTTCGTTGATGTCTCCTCGTGAATAAAATAAATGCAATGTCTTGCTTCATTTACTTACAGCTCTGGGAGCAGCGTATGGCACAGCAAAATCAGGCACAGGAATTGCAGCAATGTCTGTCATGAGGCCAGAACTTATCATGAAATCTATCATTCCTGTTGTTATGGCGGGTATCATTGCCATTTACGGTCTTGTAGTAGCTGTTCTCATTGCTGGAAGTTTAGAGGAACCCAAAAACTATTCTCTTTTCAGGTATGTTACAATTTCTATAATCTCACTCTCTCTCTCCCCCTCTCTCTCTTTCTCTCTTTCTCTCTTTCTTTCTTTCTCTCTCTCTGTCTCTGTCTGTTTAACTTGAATTACATACGCTGTAGCTCGACGAAACCACAATGTAGTATAATACAGAAAAAAAACTTACAAATACTCTTTACTACAAGATATATTATTCTAGAAATAATATAAATATTTATAGCCTTTATATCTTATAGATACTGAAAACATTTAGCCAACGCTTGACTATTAATATTCTACTGGACTAAATAGGGGCTTAACTAGTTCTACCTTCTGTTGCTTCATTTAACGTTCAATTTGTACATATATATATACGATCAACTATTACTTTCTTCTCATAGAGTTAACAAGCAATTTTTTTGGTCTTTTTACTCTAGGGGTTTTATTCACCTGGGTGCTGGCTTAGCGGTAGGTTTTTCTGGTCTAGCTGCTGGATTTGCCATTGGTATTGTTGGTGATGCAGGTGTGAGAGGTACCGCTCAACAGCCTCGTCTGTTTGTCGGTATGATCTTGATTCTAATCTTCGCGGAAGTATTGGGTCTCTACGGTCTCATCGTTGCCATCTACTTGTATACCAAGTAAACGAATGTTAATGGCAGGAATGCAAGACTCGTCGCCTGCAACCAACAGCGCTCCCCGACTATTATATATACATATATATATATGTATATGTATATACATATATATATATATTACGACTTGTTTCGACATTTTACTTAAAACACATTTTTCCATGCATACTCACATCGAGTCATCCAAGCATCCTTCTGTAAGTCTGTATTAAAGTTCAGATCTATTAGAGTCCGAGCATTTAAGAAATAACATAATTCATATTACACAAAGCGAATACAAAAAAACCATTTGAAAATACTGCAAGCGTGTTGCAACGAGACGAAACAAAATGAAAACCACAACACCAACAACAACAGCAAATCTTAATTGAACAAAAAAAAACCTGTTAAGTCAAGAGGAAAACGGAAACATCACATCAGTCTTGCAGGAAGAGGATGCGTGTGTACAGAAGAATCGAAAAAGCGACAGGCGACAGGGAGTTTACACTGAGAAAAAAAAAGACCCCGTTACCCCATGCCGAACATTTCTCTTTCACTGTATAGTAATCATTTGTAGCGTAGTTTGACATTGAATTATCAAGTAAGATAATCGGCTCTACTGAGTGTATAAAGGAAAAAAATGTTATTGATAAAAGAATATTTAGCACAATTATGTATTAAAAAATGCAATTGAAACGGCAGCATACAGATATTGCAAATATCCGTCTCCGAAAAACGGAGAGAGAGAGCGCGCGATACCCGCGCGCGGGGAATGCAGCATTGAAACGCGAAGGTTGTACAAAAACTGTAATTTCACAGTGGAGAACAAAGGGAAAGGAACGAGAAAGAAAACCCATGGATATTGTACAATCGAAGAAGCTATAAGACACAAAATATAGTATGTGGGATATAAAGTTTTAGAGGGGGAAACAAACAAACAAACAAAAAAAATAAATAAGAATGAAATGAATGTGAGTAGACAATGGACAGATACATGATAGTATTAAGTCAATTCAGTGGCTGCTGGACGTATCAGGAGAACCATGCAATGAGCAACGGTGTATGATTCAACATGAATTGGTTCGGATGACCGCATAGGCCGGCGGTGATTCCCTTCTCTATGATGGAACATACGTTATCTCGCGTCTCATTGCTGACATATATATATATCTATATCTATGAATATACATATTCAAATATGTTCTGTGCGTATGTATATATATGTCAATGAAGCGGCAAAAGCATGCGAAGCTGATAAGAAAGCTGATTCTAT